CCCTGCATCCGGACCGGACTGGACCAGATCGGACCGGATCAGCCCAATTGCCGAACACCAGAAGACACCACCACCGGGATCCTGTTAAGCCTGTTCCCGCAGCATCAGGAACTTTTGTGAGTAATAAAATGCTGTGTGATTTGCAACTGCATGTTTCTATGTGGTGTAATTCCTCCAGCACTTAATTAAATTACTATGTGTATACTTGAAATTGAAACTACGGTTTTTGGTCTTTTTGGTCCTAAGCCTACCCTCAGTCCTGCAGTCTCTTCACTAGCAACTACTTAAAAGTCCCAATATTTGCACTGTTAGGCTTATCTCAAGGGACACCTCAGATAACACCCCAGATCTTTTTTCGGGATCTACTTGGGACACCGATAGTGTCCCTCAGTCCAGCTACGGGGTATCACTTCCCAAATCAACCCTCAGTGAGCCTTGTCTCAGCTCTGCCCTCGGGGGACCCCAGGCTCCAACATTTTACTTCTGGCTGGGGGAGGCCTCAGACTTTTGTGCAGAGTAATGGGAAGCCCTTGAAGAGCTGGATGCAGGGACTTGATAAGATCTGTATTCCTAAGGGCTGTTCTGGCTCAGTGTGGACAAGGGGCAGGGGCACGAGCAGTGCTACAGTGCTACAAGGGTAAACACAGGAAGACCATCTAGAACAGTGGTTCTCAACCTGTGGGTCGCGACCCCTTTGGGGGTCAAAGGACCCTTTCACAGGGGTCGTTCAAAAATACATCCTGTATATCAGATATTTACATTATGATTCATAACATCATTGATGTTTCTATCTCTCTATTGGTCTCTCTTCCTCTCTGAAATCAATTAAAATATATATTTTATAAAAAGACGTCACTGCCTATAATGGATAACATTGTACCAACTAGGAAATGATGCCATATGTTTGCTAGACTTAATGGTTGATCACTTTCTAATCACTATATTGTACACCCAAAACTAATATAATATTGTATGTCAACTGTAATTGAAAGATTTGAAAAAAAATTTTTAATGTCACTGCCGGGAGGTGGGGGGAGGTCAATGGGGGAAGAAGGAGACTTATGTAATACATTGAACAATAAAGAATTTAAATTTAAAAAAAAGAACATGCAAATCCCCTGACTACTAATTCAGTTCTTTAAGAACATACCTTGGGAGAAACTAAGATGGCGGCAGAGATAAACACCGGGAAATTAAGGCCGCTCACAACAATTGATTAATACCTCAGAGAAACAATACGGACTTCATCCAGAACCATAGGAAGCCTGGCTGACTGTAAACTCTACAACTAGAAGGAAGGAAACGCACACTGAGACCCAGAGAAGCTGCAGGAGAGAAGCGCAGAGGTAAGGGGCTCTCATGCGCGGAAAGGGGCTGGCAGCT